AACTCCGGCTGCCTGCCACTGGTATGTTTTTTTTTCTTTTGTTTTTCTCTCTGTGTTTCCTCTTTTCCACGCACCGTGCCAGGTTTCTTTTCCCAAGTACCACAACCTCTGCGAACGCCACTTCCGGCAAGCAAGCGGAATTTGGAGAACGCCTGCTGATGACCAACCAATACCTGTGGATCGCCATCGTTGGCGGCATCGTCGCCTTCCTCACCGGATGCGGTGTGGGAATGAACGACCTTGCCAATGCCTTTGGCACGACGTACGGCTCCCGCGTGTTGACGCTGAAGCAGATTATTGTTCTTGCCTCCGTCTGCGAGTTAGCTGGCGCCGTATCTCTAGGCGGTGAGGTGACCTCCACGATCTCCGGCGGCATCGCCGACGCGTCACAGTTTGCGGGCGAGCCGTACGTTTTGATGTACGGCATGCTCTGCGCTCTGGGTGCTGCCTTTTTGTGGCTGCTGCTCGCGACTATCTTGACCCTCCCCGTCTCCTCGACGCACAGCATTGCGGGAGGCATCATTGGGTTTGCACTCGTGTACAGCGGCGCCAGCGGTGTTTCGTGGTCGAAGAAGACGAGCGACTTTCCCTTTGTCTCGGGTGTGGTGCCGATTATTGCGTCGTGGTTCATCTCGCCGTTGCTTGCTGGCATTACCGCTGCGACTGTGTACAGTATTATCCGAGCGTTGGTACTCCGTCCGGCGAACTCTGTGCAGCGGGCGTTGTATGCCGTCCCGGTCATAGTGTGTGTGGCGTTCTTCCTGGAATCGTTTTTTGTGCTGTTCAAGGGCGCCAAGGCGCGCCTCCACTGGCCCGTAGAGAAGGCCCTGTGGGTTGCGGCCATCATTGGCGTTTGTGCCGGTATTATCTCGGTTGCTTTCATTCCTCTGCTGAGGCGCCGCGTGAGGTGGATGACGGAGAGGGCTGAGCAGCAGGCGGCGGAGGCGGCTCGCTCCGCGGCGGAGGCGGAGCAACAAGCTGCGGCTGGTTCTTTCGCAGAGGGGGAGGGTGCCCCCGCGGCTGACGGCACCTCGCCTGGGAATATGGCAGCGGGGGGAACGATGGTCGCCGAAGCGAAGGCGGCAAAGATGTCCAACGAGCCCCTCACAGGGTCCATCGTGGGCGTCTCGGATAACAGCTCCAACAACGGGTGCCAGGTGACGGAAAGTGAGCTACCGTTTACTGTGCAGCTGTTTGACAACCGCGCGGAGTACGTGTTCCGTTACCTGCAGGTGTTCACCGCAGTCTGCGCATCCTTTGCGCACGGCGCGAGCGATGTGAGCAATGCGATGGGGCCGTTCGCCGCCATCTACGCCATCTATAGGACTCAGACGGTGGTGGCGGTGAGCGATACGCCAATATGGATCTTGTTCCTTGGCGGTGGTGGGCTTGTGCTTGGTCTTGCGACGTTCGGCGTGAG